TTTCACTGCTTTTCTTTGTCATGTCATGGTTTCTTTATCACATGGGGTCTGTATTCTTATCTGGGCCTCTCCATCCGTCAGTCATCACGCCTCCTTATCCCTCTCTCCTCTCTCTCCTCCTCCAGGCCTTTGGCAATGCCAAGACGTTGCGTAACGACAACTCAAGCCGCTTTGGCAAGTACATGGACGTTCAGTTTGACTTCAAGGTGAGCACGCCGGTCACCTGGCAGCTGCTGCTTTCAACAACACAGTTTGTTACTCATTAAAGTGTAAATCTTTCAGGCTTTGTGCATAAAATCAGTTCAGTGTGATTTAATTTCATTGTTTACACCACTCCTCCCTCTTACACAATATTTATCATGGACTATAAAATCCATGTGGATCCTGCATGTTATATCAACCCCACATCACGCCTCAGTACCCCAGCCTTACCCTCTCCTCCTCTTCCTCCTCCTCTTCCTCCCCTCACCCTCCCTGGCCTTTGTCCCGCCGGCAGGGTGCCCCGGTGGGAGGCCACATCATCAACTACCTGCTGGAGAAGTCCCGGGTGGTCCACCAGAACCACGGGGAGAGGAACTTCCACATCTTCTATCAGCTGATCGAAGGAGGAGAGGAAGACCTGCTGAGGCGCCTGGGCCTGGAGAGGAACCCCCTGCAGTACCAGTACCTGGTCAAGGTCAGAATGGGGGACTTTCATTTATGTGGCTGCTGCATCAGAACAGCATCTAATTCATTCAGCATTCATTTATTGCATTTAGGATCAGCAGCAGACACAACTAGTTTAACTCCACACCTCCTGGTTTGTCCATCTCACCACGGTTTCCTAGATGAACCTCCTCTTCTCTGTTGATTTGCATCTTTTCACCGTAGAGGAATGAACCATATAAACTAGTCTTTCATGAGGGAATACTAACCTCCTAGAAAAGTTCAACTTGACCACTTGTGAACTAATTAGCTCATTAATTAAGGGACAACATTGTTTTCTTGTGAGCACACAGGTCTTTTGTATGGATCAGAAGGTGTTCTTAGACTTTGGTTTCCCTTGCTGCCTACGTTTGTGTGTCAGGATCTTTTTAAAGCTTTAGTTCGTGTTCTTCATAACAAACTACCAGTACAGTGATGATATTATCATGACATCAATCAACCATCTACGCACCGTTTGTTTTTCAATTATCAAACAATGTTAAACACATTTCTTCAAAATAAATGTGTATTTCTAGGTTTATTCTTGAACAGTTTTACCTTTATTCAGACATCCATGTGCTGCTGGGAGTGGACGCTCCATGATCACAGCTCCCCACTTTAAGAAATTTTCGCTGAACACAAACAAGCACACGAGAAGTTTAGCTGAAATACGACAGAGTGTAAACTTTGTCAAAGCAACACTTACATGTAAATCCAAATGAAGAGCACATAAACGATAATTGGCCTTCAAAGAAACAGCAAAGCTCGACGTCCTGGTGTTCAGACACATCACAACAGTCCTCATTCACTCCCAGCTGCTGACCTTCATGTCATTCATCCTTCACGTCCTGTCAGCTGTCCAGAGCCCTCCCCACCCACAGTCAGAGATAAAACATCAAAAGCTCTCATCTGATTTCTGACATGGTGACAGAGTCGCCGGTTATTAGTGTTACAGTCTGAAGACGTTCAGTCCCGTTATGCATGTTAGTTTTATGATGGGTCACGTTGTCTTGACCCAACAGAACACTGAATCAGACCGTGTTTCCTCTGATATACACATACATCATTTATTTATTTCTTTTCCGAAATTGGTTCAAGTTTTGGATTTACTGAACACAACCACAGTGTCCTGACTGTACTGGAGGAACTGGTGTGTGTGTGGAAGTGCATGTGTGTGTGTCCCAGTGGGAGTTCTGGTTAATAGGCTCTCAGTCAGCAAGAGGAGCTTCCCTCAGGGGAGAAATCTGCCTCGAGGCACACTGAGCACACACACTCCAACCACTACTGAGCAAAAACACCTCACATCGCTGTTTACATCACATATAAGTAGGTGTTTGCTTTACCTGTAAACAGCAAATTGCACATCATCTGCTGTGTGGACTTTGTTGGACGTGTTCATAACACCACGAGGGCATCAAAATGGAATCTACAAAGTAAATAAGTAGCGTGTTTGCGGCGCTTTACCAGTGTTTTTGTGGTTGTTTTCCACAGGGTAACTGCCCCAAAGTGAGCTCCATCAACGATCGCAGTGATTGGAAGGTGGTGAGGAAAGCCTTGACGGTGATTGGCTTTAACGAGGACGAGGTGGAGGTGAGGACCGAGTCTAAACTGTGCAAATCAGCCGTGGCGTGTTTGCTTTGCCACTTCAGCTAGTGTGAGCGTATTAGCAGTGGTGCATTTCCATGAGGTAGACAGAGCATTAGCAGGCAAATGATTGCTCAGCACATGCTACATTTGCACCTCTGACTTGCTACTAAAGTGTTGAAAACAAAGAAGTTGTGCCCCACACACGTGTACATTTACCTCCTGGACCATGTGTGTCGGTGGCTACAGCATGCTGCAGGTTTCACTGCACTCTGAAGTCGTCCATGTGCCTGAGGCGCTGAGGCTGTTCCTGCCTCACCCGGATGTTTGTTAGACACCACTGTGTGTGTGTGGCTGCCGGTGCATAGTGGGAACTTATTTGTGCTGCACAGCGTGGGAGTCTTCCTACATGTTCATGAGTCTGGGCTGCTTTCCAAAACTCTTTCAGATCTCACACTGCTCACAGAGTAAAGAACAGGTGTGAGAGTGTGTGCAGCTCTCCTATGATTCTTCCTACGTTCTTGTTCAAATCTTAATTTAAGTTGAACCAAAGCCACACTTATCAGTTATGTTGCTAATAAAGATATGAGCAGTCGGTCGTGTACCATCTTATCATGCCGCCTTTGTTCCCTTCCTCCTCTTCCTTCTTCTCTCCTTATCCATCTGCCTTTCTCTGTTTTATCACTCTCATTCCCTCCTTCTCTTGTCTTTATTGTGTAGGAGTTGCTGAACATAATCGCCAGCGTGCTCCACCTTGGCAATGTGCAGTACGGCGGTGAAGAAGGCAATGCTTGCATAACTTCTGATACACAGATAAAGTATCTGGCCCGGGTAAGACACTGCACCGAGCAACGCTGCTAACAGAGAGTCAACAAGAGGAGGCGTGACCGTACAACAGCAATAAAGGGCTGATTGAAGCTCACAACACCCACTTCAAAGGACAATGATTCCTGTAGGTTTAGATTTTAGGACATTAAATGACGAAGCTATCAGGAGTACATGTTGTAGTTTCCTACAGAAGACAACGTGAGGTCCCTGATCCTCCTTATCTGAGGATCAGGACACCGCCTGTGAAGTTGCACCACGTGTTCGTTTGACTTCATTTGAACTGGATTTAAAAGTATCGATTATAGATTTCATCAGTTATAACACATTCACTCAGAAAGAAGAAACTAAACATTGATCTTATAGCTCAGTTTCAGCTATTATTAGTGTATTTGGGTCTATTTTCACTACTATTGCATTTAGTTACGTCCTTCATTGCTTTTCGTGCGTGTCAACCGTTTATCCAGAACTGGAGGTGGACTAGCCGTTGACCCGTTGCTTCCGTCTAACTGGTTCCACATATTCAGGTTTTCATCCATTTTCAGTTGCAAACTGTAGAGTTTAGGTGTTAGACTGATGGAAATCATGTCAACCCAACTGTAACTGATTGTGAATATGTAGAAATATCAGAATTATCTTGTTAATCCTTGGAGGGAAACTGTTCTGTAACTGTGGACTGCAGAGTCTGGAGCCTTGTGCCAATCAAGCAAATGACATGACACACCTACAGGGTTAGCAAACGGACGGAGGGATGTGAACGACGGCTAATATTACATATGAACACTCCCTGGATACGTGTGATGAAGATAACCACACAGCTAGCGCTTTAATATCTCAGCTGCAGAACAAATCCTCCACAGCAACCAGACCAGGGTGGCATCATTTACTGTTGGTCTACGTTTCAGGCCCTCTGACCTCCATCTGTCCACCTGAACCATCAGCTATCAGTAGTAATGACGAGGGTCTGGACTATTCTCCTGTAGCCAAGTGAAACAAATAACAGTTGACTCACAGAGATGCCCTCCATTCCCTACGAGGGCTGTGAGCTCGTCTCTCTTGTTGTCCGGCCGTCTCATGCTGACCGTAGTGATGAGTGAGTTTTTATTGACTCTGTTGTCTGGACTGAACTCTTTTCACTCTTCGAATGTGTTACCAAAATGAATACTTCAATCTCATGTTATTTGTCAACTTTCCATTTGCATAGCACGCCGTAAGTTAATGCTGCAAAGAGTTTTTTAAAAATATCTAACACAAATAGCTGAGTTTTTTGGGTAATGCAGTGAAAGCGTTGGTTCGTCCTGTTCATCATACAAACAATATGTTCTGTAACAAGAAAGGATTCAAGTATCTTGAGTAAACGTTTTCTTATCTAAACGTCTCTCTTCTGGTCCTCTGGAGGCTCCTGATGAGTCCCCTGACTGTCAGATCGCTGTACTGACCAAACATGCTTCACTGACAGATTCGGACCCGTCAGGACTGGTGCTGGTGCTCTGGGATGTTTCATAAATACGCTCTATGTTCTCTCATTTTCACGGCACAGCTGATGAAGTCATATCCAATTAAACGGTCTGCACTAGAGAAACAAAATCACTCCATTCATTTCTTCTTCAGTCTTCCACTTATACCTGATGTCAGATGAGCGGATGACATGTCTGGATGCCACTGCTGCTGACGGCATGACGTCTGGCTCTACTGGAGGTGATGTGTTTGTCGCTGGCGGAGCTGCGGTGCTAACTAACTGTTGTGCTTTTCCAGTTGTTAGGAGTGAATGGCTCAGTGCTGACAGAAGCACTCACACACAAGAAGATAATTGCCAAGGGAGAGGAGGTAGGTTTGGATACACACTCTCATTGTGTGATGATACACAAAGCTTTCCTGTCTCTGCTGCAGTGTGATTGTGTTGTAGCTCGTCTAACTGGTACCGCTGAACTTTGTGTAACTGTTATTGTCCATCTACTGGGCTCTCACCTTCCTCTGTGTGTGTGTGTGTGTGTGTGTGTCTGTGTGTCTTCACCAGCTGATGAGTCCGCTGAATCTAGAGCAGGCGTCGTCAGCTCGGGACGCTTTGTCCAAGGCAGTGTATGGACGCACCTTCACATGGCTGGTTAACAAGATCAACGCGTCACTGACATACACGGTATACACACCACACACACACACACACACACACACACACACACACAGTTGGCAGCTTCATAACTTCATAAACATGTAGCTCATCTCACTTTATTTACTTTTTGATTTGAAGTCATCTGTCACCTCGCTGTGCCACCACGTGGACGTCTCCCCTTTATTTTATTGCAGCACAGCTCCACCTTGTGGACATTTACGAGCCCACACCACTACTCACTATGCAGTTCTATGTTGTTGACAATAACATGGACCACAATCATCACCAGAGATTTTATTTGCGGTGGAATTTATTACATGCAGACTAATAAACTAAACAAATCCACAGCTTATATTCTTTCCTGAATACAGCCACAGAAAAGTCGCTGCATGAAGCCTGCAGTGGAACAGGACTGAACTGCAACGCTCATTTTTATTTGTCTAAACATCTGTTGTTAACATTATAAACTTATGATGCACATACATGAGTTTGTTGTTTCCTGTGGATGTAAAGATGAATTTTCTGATCTCACTGAACAGGATGAGTCTCACAAACACTACTCTGTCATTGGCCTGCTGGACATCTATGGCTTCGAGGTCTTCCAGCACAACAGGTACACTTACTGTTTGTCAATTTTTAAAGGTGCAAAAGTTTGGACACCCACATCATTTTTTACAGGCTAAACTTGAAGGTGGTGTTCAGGTATTTGAAATCGACAGACAAACAAACAAACAAACAAACGCGTCCATTCAGGGCTTTTTCAGAAGCCTCATACTCCAAAATCATACATTTGTACGGTAATGGTGAAAATGCTAACAGCTTAGCTAGCTGGGGGGAAAGTCCATCCTTCAGTAGTGTGGAGGTGGATGTTAGAACAGGAGACGTCATCAAACCAGCGACATGTTGGCTCACACACACAGCATTCAGAACACAGCACCAAGCAGAGGAGGGAAATCTCAGCCTGTGTCTGAGCTCACAATCAGAACCTCTTGGAAACCGGATGGTGATGAGTGGTTGCTGCTGTCTCTCATATCTGCTCTACAAGCTGCTGCTGCTGCACAACAACATCCACTGCAGGAAAAAACAGGGGACCAGTGATTTAAAAATCTCTGGAATTGACCCTAAACTTTGTTGAATGTGTCGAGAATCACAGGTTTGTCCTGTGCATGTAGTCTGTGGCTGACTCTGACCAGAAACAACCCAAATGGCTGCTGAAGTGGTGCTGTATGGGTCGGCCTGAGCCACTCTGTCTGTTCACCAGTTATAGAGCCAGGGCTGTGCAGGAACACACACAGAGGATGAAGGAGATAATATTCACTGAGTTTGACAGTCAGTGTTAAATAAAGTAGCTCAGACCACCTTTAGCTGTAAGCTCTGCCTTTTGATTTGGTTGTATGTGATGCTGAATTCTTCTGCCACCATGATTAGTACCATTAAAGTTAAGCAAAGTTGTCCCTTCTCAATGTGAAATAACAAACTAGAATCAGTCGGACATGTTAAGAACTCTTCGGTTACTTCAGCTCATGTGTCGGTTGTTGTGTGTTGCAGCTTTGAGCAGTTCTGCATCAACTACTGCAACGAGAAGCTGCAGCAGCTCTTCATCGAGCTCACCCTCAAGTCAGAGCAGGAGGAGTACGAGGCTGAAGGCATCACGGTCAGACTCCCCATCACCTGCTCGTGTGTCAAACTGTTGCTTGCTCCTTAAGTTTTGCTCGTTTTTCTTTCGTATTGACGTCTTGATTTATTCATTTTTAGGTTCACTCTGTCACTTCCTCTTGAGTCCACCTTCACCTCCTCTGTTGATTCTAAACCTCTGCCTGTGCTCCTCCGTCCTCACACTTCTTTTCTGGTCTTGTTGTAGCCGCCACACCGTTCCTCGTCCCTCCGTCAGGGTTCGGGCTTGACAAAGAGCTCCTAATGGGATTGTTGTTGCGGTTGTGTTTTCCAAAATGAAATTGATAATTGAATTTATTATCTGCTTTTTTCACTGGCACTTTTACCTCAGAGCAATTTACAGTAAGTGCACATATTTATAGAAGATGCTGCCCATTAGAGATGAAGCCTGTCATTGTTAGAGTCACAGGGTTTATTTATTCACTGATAAAATCTCAGACCTCTTACCAAGATTACGTGTCAAAGCAGGTCTGCGTTGAAGATGTTTGTCTTGAATTTTGTCTTCAGCTGCTCCCTTTGGTCTGTTCCTCCCCCATTTATATTCATTGCATTTATATTGTTTTGTTTGCTTCTTGGGAACAAGGGCCTCTTGTTTTCACTCTAATATAAATGCATTTGTTCAGAGAGCAAACAGGTTGTGGGAGAAACTTGGATCCACCTCTCAAAGAGCCCATTATCATCTGACATCAGGACCGTGGGCGCTCGTATCTGTGGAAATTATGTGACCGTTAGCGCTAACGTAACCTAGCGCTGCCACACTTAGCCCGCGGAGCTCTGTGTTCATGTGTGTGTGTCCACATGCAAGTGGGTGAACGGCATGTCTGCATGCCAGGATGCCATGAATTCTGCAGATGATTGAGTTTACGGTCGTTAACAACCACTGTCCATCCTCATGAGAACAACTTCAACGTGCACACTCACTCAGAGTTTTTAAAATAGTATTCAACATTTAAACACACTGCAGTTTGGCCTTTTGTGGCCTCATTTTATGACTCTGTGGAGAATCAATAAGAGTTATTCTCAACTTTCACCCATTGATGGCGGCTCAGAGAACAATCTATTTAATGAATTTGCCTTTCCTGTCTGGCCACTGAGCTCCTCAACAATCACTGTTTTTATGCTGAGGACGGCAACCGAGCTGATGCAGTTGTTTTGTTTTCACATCATCTCTTACCAAAGTGGCATTTGTGTGTTTCCAGTGGGAGCCGGTGCAGTACTTCAACAACAAGATCATCTGTGACCTGGTGGAGGAGAAGTTCAAAGGCATCATCTCCATTCTGGTGAGGAGACACGCTGCACTGCAGAAAGAAAACACAGGTCGTCTATAATTACGTTTACTCTGGAAGATGATCTCTAACAAAATATTTGAAGAACTTATGGCGAGATCAACAGACGTATTGAAGGAGGAGCTCCTCATTTTGGGAGGTCGCCACACAAGTAGCAGAGACTTCAGAAAGTCACTGTGCCGAACCGAGAAGCAGAACTTACAGCTTAGTGCAAAACAAACAGCAGCCAAACATCTCATGGTTTGATTGATGCTCAATTCTAGTTGAAATACTATGTAAATAAAAATGCAGCAGCAATTATAGAATCTCAAAACTAACATAATGCAGAGGAGGACGGTGCTGCGTTTGTATCCAGAGTCGTCTGATCGTCCAGCGTGGAGACAGAAAAACCCTCGCTGCTGCTTCCTGCTGTGACTGAAATAGCTCACAGTCCAGATGTCTCTGACTGAATTCTGACTCAGATGTCTGCAGCTGGGCTCTCAGAGGACATGAAAATCAAACCATAAAACTGCTCTGTACCAGATAAGTGTCTTTAGTTGACACATTTCTGCTCAGCCGTGGTGGTCAGACTCATATCACTACGTAGCTGCTCTGAGGTGCAGGTCTATGTAGGATTCTCCTTTTGCCAGGTGTTGACTGCTCGCTGCTCTTTCTGTCCACCTCTGACAGGATGAGGAGTGTCTGAGGCCTGGAGACGCCAGTGATTTCACCTTCCTGGAGAAGCTGGAGGACACTGTGGGAGGACACCCACACTTTGTCACGTTAGTCACATGCTCGCTCTTGTCTTCTGCACTTTGGTCTCACAGTACTTGAAACCGACTATTTCCTTGTGACGCCAGACTGTGAACTTGTGGGTGTGTGTCTGATAAATCCTCACCGCTTGTGTCTCGTTCCCTGCAGTCACAAACTGGCTGATGGAAAGACCCGGAAGGTAATGAGCCGTGAAGAATTCAGACTGCTGCATTACGCTGGAGAGGTCAACTACAACGTCAACGGTGTGTGTGTGTGTGTGTGTGTGTGTGTGTGTGTGTGTGTTGCTGTAAACAGTATCAAAATAGTGGCTTTCTTTATGTCGGTGGAAGCAGACAGGTGAGGCGCAGCAGACAGGTGAAGCGTAGCAGACAGGTGAAGCGTAGCAGCCAGGTGAAGCGTAGCAGACAGGTGAAGCGCAGCAGACAGGTGAAGCGCAGCAGACAGGTGAAGCGCAGCAGCAGACAGGTGAGGCGCAGCAGACAGGTGAGGCGCAG